TGAAGAGACATTCATTAGATCAGTGTTGAGACATTTTACAGCACATGATGCATTTGAAATTTTGCTTAAAACTGAAAAGTTTTTAAGTCAGTGTACATAATATAATACTCTTTGGATTGCCAGTTCTTGCAGGTCTGTCACCTCTACATTTTATTGTCACTTAAGTTTTGGATTGAGTTAATGAATGTAAGGAGTCTCACATGGACTAGCTAGATTACTAGTTGTTGAAGGAAGTGGAGACAGTTTCAGGGTTCCTAACAGTTATAATGTTTGTAGCTGGGTTTGAACCCCAGGACATAGGGCAGGGCTATTCAACTAAGTTGGTTCAGGGGCCAAAATGTTCAAAACAGGGGTTGTCAGTGGCCAGAGGTCTTAGTCCCGGCATAGAAAGATCGAAAATACTTTACAGCTAGAAGTGTTCCGCGGGCCACTTGCTAGGCCTTGGCGGGCCAGATTTGGCCCGCCAGTTGAAAAGCCCTGACATAGGGGTTCTCCTTTGTGTAATGCAGGATTTGTCTTTCTTGGTTTTCATAAAAATGGTAACTTGAATAGTCGTTATTTTGTTAATATATATATAATATATATCTGCTGTAACAGCTTTCTAACTGTTGATATTTGCATGTGAAGAAATTCTGGCACACAAGGGGATATGCTAAGTGTTAGCTGCATTTTTAAAGGAAATCTCTGCTTCATATTCAGAGGTTACTTTTTACTGTTGTTACAAATCCGACTAAAATCAAACCATGTTCTCTCCTTTACGCATACCAGAGTTGTATGAAAAGTATAACTAAAACTGTATAAAGCAAAATTTTAGTTTAAAAAAAAATTTACTATCTGTGGGTACTGTTTACCATTACAAATCCCCGGAGTTAACAAGATCAGTATATTGGCTTTCTATCTTGTATGGTAATAAGGTTATATAAAATATAGTTAAGCGATTGCGAAACAATCCTCATTTTCCCTGTCACATTGTTTCTAAGCATCTTCCATGGCTTTTTTGCTCCCCTTCCCTTGTAATTTCTTTCATTGTTCAATCACTTCCTCCATCTTCTGTTTCTTCTCTAGTCATCATCTAACACTTCTACCATTATGTAAATATGAGTTTTTGTCCTGGGTCATTTTAAAGATGTTCAGTAGGGATTGTTTTGACATGTTCCAACACACAGTTGTGTCACATTTATAAATAGCACTACATTTTCATTTAATAAAGTCATGTTTTAACTGTTTTCTACTCTGATGTGTTGTTATTGTATGTGTTATTTATTTACTTGGATCCTGGGAAGTCAAGGTGACTTGTGTGATATCCACCACATCACTTGTCGAATGCCAACCTGGGAAGTTACGCGGCTGGCATGATGTCGACCACATTACCTGCCAAATGCCAACCTGGGAAGTTACGCGGCTGGCATGATGTCGATCACATCACCTGTCAAATGCCAACCTGGGAAGTCAAGGCGACTGGCATGATGACCACATCACCTGTCAAATGCCAATGGGTCTATATACATGATGGACCATGGCATGGAATAAGTCCTTTTTTTTTAAAACTTTTATTTACATTGTTTTCACTGCTGTGGTTGAGCGTAGTTTTCAGAAAACGAGACAGAGGCAGACCTCTGCGACTGTGGATACAAGACAAAGAAAATGCATTGGCTGTGAAAGCATACAATCTCAAACACTACTTCAAGCCACAAACCAAGAAACTTTAGACAGTATGATTACCAAGAGAAGATGAAAATGGCTTGGCCACGTTATGAGAATGACTTCTGATATACCTGCCAAAACAGCTCTCACATGGACACCAGAGCGAAAGAGAAAACAGGGGCGCCCAAAAACAACATGGAGACGAACGATGGAAAGTGACCTGAGTGCGGCATCTTTGACATGGAAAACTGCACTGAAGATTGCACGGGACAGGAAAGCATGGAAAGTCCTCTCTGAAGCCTCATGTGCCACTAGGCATAACGAGAACTAATGATGATGATGTGAAAGCATATAGGGCTGGATATTTGGCTAGAGACACTTTCAGGCATGCTGTGACAAAAGCGACATTCTGTGAAGGACTTGCTAATTGAGGATGATTTACAATGCTGATTCGATGATGGTTTCCCATAGCACACCACACATGCTGCTGTAGTCTGGAAAGGTGCCAACAAATTTCAAGCCATCATCATCATGGGCCATGCTTTTAAGCGTAGGGCCAGGGCTTTTTAACTGGCGGGTAAAATGTAGCCCACAGTGGCCTAGCAAATGGCCAGCGGATTACCTGACAACTATATTGTATTAATGCTCTTTCTACGCCAGGACTTGGTCCTCTGACCTGCGACGATCTCCATTTTCACCATTTTGGCCCCTTAGCAAACTTAGTTGAATGGCCCTAGGGTAGGCTGTCATGTTTCACCATCTCGCAGGATCACCAGAAACACGGACCAGGTCTGTGCTTGAGCTGCATACAATTCATGTAGCCAAGTCATCCAGGTATTTGTTTCTGTACCTTTCCCTTGTTCTGTTCCCATCAATCTTGCTAGTCATCATTAAGTTCCCAAGTACCTTCTTCATAACACATTTAAAAAACACTGACTTCTAATCAAGTTTACGGTTTTTGTCTGAACTTCTGCCTCAAGCACCACTTGTTACCTGTAATCTCTATCCAGTTATATGCAGACTGAAAATGATGAACAACACTCTGCTGGCACTCATATCCATTCCTCACCAGGTTCTATGTCTTTAGTTTTAAAAAAACTTTTTGAATAATGTCCTCAGTCTGACCAACCTCTTCTCCAATATAGGCCAAGTGGCTTTTCCTGTCAGCTGTAAAACATGGGCCAACAATAAGTATAGTTTTTCACAGTGAAGTTAAAGGTGACTTGTGTACGTGTGTAGTTACCTTGCTTTCTATGTACATGTCCGAAATAATCTGTTGTTATGAACTATGCCAACGAAGTGTTTTGTACCCGAGTGTAAGTTGAATTAATCATTCTTCAAGTGGATATGTTAGTGTGTTTCCTTCGAATGCTCAGTTAATTAATTTCAGAGAGAAATAGCTGAAATTTAGTCTGAAAAAGTTGGGCACCCGGAAAAACCGAGTAGTATGTGTAAAACATTTTCTAACGTCTGATAACACAGGCAAATCTGGAGTAGCGCATTTTCTTCCAAAAAGAATCCCGCTTTAAAAAAGATGCTTATCCAACTGTCTTTCCAGATCTTCCATCCTTCCTATTTATCGATGAAAGTAACAGCCTCTAGCAAAAATCCAGATTTATATGTAACACATGTTTATAGTATTCATGATCAAAAAGTAAGTGAATGGCTGTCCTCAGATATTATTAAAGATTTTCAAAATTTGCAGTGCCACATAGGAAACAAATTGAAAGGATAGTTTAAAAAAATATTGAATTCACTTCTGTAGAGGGAGCTTTAGCAATGATTGTTTTTATGTCATTACCACACAGTCAGACTGCACCATCCATAGGTGTCAGTTTAAATGGATTGTAGACATCAATAAACTTGTGAGAAAGTCACACACCTTGTATTTCAGAACAGTGCCTGTGATTGTAAGTAAAATTCAATGCCTAAATAGCTTTACAGATTTAATAGGAGAAAAAGGAAGTATTTTGAAAAGTGCTGCAGAACAACAATGGACTTCTAATGGGGCAGCTGAGGAAGTAACTGACACACACAACAAAACTGGCTCATTGGATGATGTCAATAGTCCACCAAACAGATACAGTCTTGCTTTAGTGGATGATGGCAGTAGCACACAAGTTACTGTCTTGCTTCAGTGATGGATGTCAGTTGTACACTGGACACAGTCTTGGCTCATGTCAATAGTCCACCAAACAGATACAGTCTTGCTTTAGTGGATGATGGCAGTAGCACACAAGTTACTGTCTTGCTTCAGTGATGGATGTCAGTTGTACACTGGACACAGTCTTGGCTCAATGGATGTCAGTAGTACACCGGTTACATAGTTTTGGCTAAGTGGATGGTGTCAGTAATACACTGGATGCACAGTCTTGCCTCAGTGGATGATGTCAGTAGCATATCAGATTCACAGTCTTGGTTCACTGGATGATGTCAGAAGGCTTTACTGCAGATGGACAGGTCATTAGCAAATGATGCTGACTCAGGTGCAATGTCCACAGATTACATACAGCAGCTTGATGGCACGGCGAGCTAACGACATCAGCCCCACGGCCCATGTTGGAAAAGACTTTGGCCTGACCTACTAAGGATTTTCCTCTTTTTAACCTTTCACTCTTCTTCCTGCGAATCTCACTATGCAATGAATGGTGTACTGGTACGCACGTGGGCAGATCACTTTTCAGTTCCATAACTGGAAGATCAAGAGGATACCGCAAAGCCCTGCATGCTGTATTTTGTGTATGCATCCAAGTGTGATGTGCAAGGTCTCATTCTGTATCCGATCTAGTCTTTCTATCTTTTTACGGCTAAGAGTCAGAAACGCCAGAGCGAACTCAATTTCAGAAAGGATCAAATCCTGGTGTAAGACAAATAGATGACGCTGCTCGCCGTTTGTTGCAACCATTATCCTTAGCGCCATCTAACCTCTCTTTGCATTCATTAGCATATGGTTCACATGCTCATAAAAAGCAAGACTTCGGACAAAACACACTCCTAAATACTTCACTGAAGAGTTCTCTGCGTGATCTTCAAACACAGACAGTTGCTATATGGCTATTCAGCGAAAATAATGCCACCGTTAACTTTGGCACATTGAAGACCGCTCCGGCTTCATCGCACCATCTGCCTATGTGGTCAAGTTCTGTCTGAAGGCCCTCAGCAACCTGCTGCCGGTCTCTACCTTGACGATAGACCAAAACATCAGCAGCATACGACATTGTACTTCCCTGATCTCATGTCCTGCTCGCCAGTGATTCTTGTGATGCAAATGTTGAAAAGTATAGGGGATAAAGGTGAACTTTACGGCAGACCGGGGTGAATGGTTACTGGTTCAGATAGATGCCCAGCTAATACACTTAAGCATCAGTTTCCACTGGAACAAAGCCGAGGAGATCAAGGTGATGATCTTGTTTTGTCTTGTTCGTTTTCTTATGCCTGCACCCACGCCAAACAAAGTATCCGACCACTAACGCAATAAATAAACATACCAGTACTATTGTAGGCACAACCATAGAAACAATTGCCATACTTCCGTCACAAGTTGGGCTGTTTGATGGAGTACCGTTGGAATGTGTTGAATTCGTTGACCATGCCACATAATTATTGGGCTGTGTGCTTGTGTGTGTCCAGTGTGGTTCATGATTTGACTGGCTTTCTTTTTCAGTCGAAGTTTTCGTTGACTGGTGAGTCGTTTCTTCAGTCTGAAAATGAGAAATAGCTCATCAAGAAAAACAATTACAATTCCTTTCTCCAAGAAACGAGTGAAGCAATACAAAACAATTGCTATTTATTACGCAATCGAAAGGATTAGAGTTAAAGAAATGAAAACACTACTTAGTACTTCTGTACAGGATCAGAGACAAAGCTGGTCGAAATACCAGTTCCTTTCTGCAAGACACAAGTAAAGCAATACAAAACCGTTTATTATGTATGTATGTATGTTAGTTTTACCCCACCAGGACATCACAGAAGCGATAAACACCATGTGACACAAAGTGCCACCATGCGGATGGGGATCACTGTGTAGAGGTCCCAGAAACCCTGTTCAGCCGTTAGGCTATTTTTGAGGCCCGGCTATATTTAGGACCCCCAGCAAAAGCCAGGGTGGGGCTTCAAAATAACTGAAAAGTGCATCCTACAAAGGGGATGACGAGAATTAACTAAACATTTTTATTATTATACAATCGAAAGGATACAGCTGAAGAAATAAAAACACTACTTCTGCACAAGATCAGAGACAAAGCTGAAACGAATAATAAGATAGCAGAAACAAAAACTTTCTTAATTAAAACACATATACACCACACACACACACACCACACACATACACACACAGATGTGGAAGACTAAAGACTAATCTCGATTTAAGGAACAAGAATAAAGTATTTAACATACATTTAATCCCTGCACCAGAACAGGAAATAACGTTTACAATTTATACAATATGCAGGACAAAGAAAGGCGGGTAAATAAAAAGACAGATAGAAATAAAGACAGACAGAACTGGACAGACAGATAGATAGGATTTTGCGTGGAAACCCCTACACCCCCCCCCCCCCCCCCAAGATAAGTAGATAATCGACAGACTAATAAACGTACAGTTAACAAGACTAGCTGTAGATAGAAGTGCAAAACAAGTATTTGTTACGTTGACTTGATACCTGAGACTGCAGCTGACAGGCTGTATCCTTGTCCCCCATACACTCACTGACAGTCCTGTACCCTGCTGGACACTCTCTGCATGGCTTGCACTCGGGGCCATCATAATCTGTTTGATCATGGAATTGTGAACATAAACGTCATTAGTCACAACAAAACCATGCTATTGTGTAGTGTTGAAACGAGATCATGTGGCAGAAATCATAGTTTTCATCTCAAGAACACTGGCGTATTCTCTGTTGCGTTTGCTTGTAAACGGGTGGATGTTGGGTTTTTGTTTAGAGTCAGGTGGTGACATCTACGCAAAATAATCCGATCTAAGCAAACCCTTAATTATGTATACATAGTTAAAGAGACAGTTGGTCTATTCTTTCCACACTCTCACTTTCCAGATAATAGTATTATGCTGTGCTATAAGAAGACACAGGAATTACTCCGTCCATGACCATGGATGTAGTTACCCCACTCCATAGCACAACGCCTGAGCTGTACTGTAGAAACCATGTGCGGCCGGTGTACCGTGTTCATTCTCTCAGCCTGCATTGTTTACTGTCACGGACCCGCGGAGAGAGGTAGATTGTTTGCCTTTTATAATTTTGGTTTGGCTACACTTGCGAAATAATATTGGCAGTTTCATGAAGTTAATATAGAGCTTTCCGGTGGGATCTCGAAATATTGTGTCCGCCTCGAGTGCTAGAGTTTCCGGGTTTAACGTGTTTTCGCGTGGACTTGGACTTTTAGTAATTCCCATGATCTCTGGGTAGTGAGATCGGTCGCCCGTGTGCATTCTTGCGCACGTAAAACACATCCCTTGGCAGTTGGAAATCGAAAATAGTAGCCTAACGGCGCTGCCTGGGCAAAATTCTGAGTAAAAAAATTTCAAGTATTTCAGGATCCTCGCCGTGCTACAGAGCCTATGCACTGCGCTGAGCTTTTCAAACTCAGATTTAAGTTAGAAGACGAACGGAGCACTTATGGGTGCCATGATGTTGATCCGTTGTTCAAATCTCAAACTTTAAATCAGCGAGAGTTAGTGTTAGTGTGTTCTCGGCTAGTGATCTGGTCAGTTGCACTGCTGACGTGGCATGACCGCACGTGGTCACAAAGCAGAACAGATGCAGTATGTAGTATAAGTAAATAAGTAAGTGAAGGACCCTTTCCACGCCTTTAGGCGTAAAGGGCATATAGGGCTAGACCTATATTTTTATAGACCAACGGCACAAGATGGGTGATGTGGTCAGCATCACGCCGGCCGCCTCTACTTCCCGGGATTGCACCCGGTACCCACTCAACGCTGGGTCGACCTGGGAGCCAAGGTCATTTTTGAAGAAAAGTCCATCTCCGCCAGGGAGCGAACCCACGACCTTCCGATCCGCGGGGAGCGTAGTATGTTGTATACACCGTTGTTTTGGGACGGTATTTGAATTCCACACAATCCACCAGCTCCACGGCTGTTCGGATCAAGTGCTGGATTGATTGTTTTTCCTCCAAGATAGCGGCTTTTAAGCGATGACTGACTGTTCGTTGAAAATGTCAGGGGCGACGCTCCAAAAGTTAAGATTGTGTGGTTGGCATATATATTCTTGTTATGTGATATTGAAAAATTAAACCCTTTTTTCATTTAAAAAGTGTTCCTATTCTTTAGTGGGGGTTATCTTTCTTTCTATAATCCTTTTAATCACCGGTTTCTCCTGTTTTAGGATTATTATGTCACTGGGCTTTTCAATCTTACAGTGATAGCATACTGGTGTGAGTAGTCGGGGACTTTAAACCCTTTTTTAATGTAAAAAGTTTTCCTTTTCTTTGATGTAGGTTGTCTCTCTTTCTATAATCCTTTTCATCACTGTGGTCCCCTGTTTAAGGAATTTAGTGTCTCTGGGGCTTTTCAATTTTAAAGTAACAGCATATTGGTGTGAGTTATCGGGGGCTTTTACTAGCACTCCTTCTCAAGCTTATTGTAATATAAACTGCTGCGTTTTGGTCTCATGTGGCTAGGCTCCCAAGATGGTAACCATCTGTCTGCTTCTGTTCTGTCTTCTCCTGTGTCCCCCTAGTTTGAGTGTATGCCCTGTACCTATCATTGGGACGGGCATCAACTCTTTAGGATATCTCTTTTAAAGTCTATAGTAGTAGAAATGTATGCGTATTGTCTGATGTGGCTAGTAAAGCGACCCCTTAGACAAATGCAAAGTTAAACCCCTGCTCCCTTTTATGTTTGTCCCGTTTTAGAACCACATCGTAATGTCTCGGGAGCTTTCCTTATATCAGTTTTATAGTATTATAATTTTTAGGGTGGGGCCTAAGATACGGGTGCCCTGTGTCTTTTTCTGTTCTGTCTTCTTTTGTTAGCTGTTTGGTCCCCTCGGGGTACCCAGCAATAGGCCCCTCCCCAAGATTTTGACCCTCTGTCTACCTCTGTTGGTTAACTGGTCTCCACACACACACACACACACACATATATATATATATATATATATATATATTCCCCTATTTTTTTACTCTGTCTACGCTTATGCCCCCTCTGCATTTTATGCCCCTGTACTGTCTTTTATTGCACCCTTCTTCTGCTAGTTAGCTATTCCAACAAGGGTCCCCTCTATATAGGCCCCTCTATCTCTATCTTTAACACTATCATCATCTTGTCCCTTCTCTGTGGGGGTCCCAGTCTCCTTCCCTTTATAATGTGTAGGCCCCTCAATTTGTTTCTTCAACCCTATTATCATCATTATATTCATCATCATCATCAGCTTCCTGTCCCCTTTATGTGGCTCCTCCTCTGGGGTACGTCCCTCTAGTTACCACTTGTTGTAACCATTGCAAAGTACTAAAGGACAAGACTGTTAACAACCCACAAAAATGGACATACAGGACAAGACTGGGATAAACACACACACACGGGTATATAGGACAAAACTTTTATTTTAAAGAACATCATGCCTATGTTCTTTACTTAACACCACTGTTTCGCGATGTTTGCATACAGGGTCTAACTAACAGTCCGTCACGGCCTGACCTTAGCTTATAAGCCGCCATCTTGGGGGGGGGGGGGGGGGGGGGGGGGCTCTTGACCCTAACAGGGATGGAACTGGTGGACTGTGTGGATTTCAGATATGGTCCCAAAACAATGCCGTATACTTCTAGGGACTGGCTCGCTGATTTCATAATTTTGATGGCACGTTTTCGAAAGTTATACAGTATTAGATCTAAATTGTCTTCAGTAGTTAAACTGTATAAATCTAGGTATCAGTGTATATCATCGCTCGGAGATATTTAATTTCAATTCGCAGGGGCGAAGTTTCACTTTTGCTAGCTGAAGGGCTTTACACATGGTATGTTTGTAGACGATATTAATTGTTAATGTGTTGTTATCTGTGAAGTTAAGTTTTATGATCAGGAAAAAAAAAACAGGTGTTCATTGTGATGATTATAGTTCCAGCAGTTTTAATTCGGAGTAGGGTTTGTAGTTTGTGTGATTAGTTGTACTCCTAAAGCTAATGAGACTTCATACAGAATATCTCCTGTCCCGGATAAAACACACTAGGTGTTAGTCCCCGCCTAATAAATGGTATCCCCCCTCCTTCCCCCCTTTTTTTTAACTAAAGCTGCTTGTGTGTGGGTTTCGGCTTCCACCCACCATGACAATCTTTGTTGGGGCTCTGATAGGCTTAGAGATAGGTGCTAGGACTAGATTTGTATA